AAAAAAAAAAAAAAAAAAAAGTAGTGACAAAGCCATTTCCAATTCACCATTTGTTTTCAAGCTGTGTTCAAATTTTATACTCTCCCAGAAACAGGTAATTTTCATAGGCTGCCATAGAAAACTTGAAGAGCCATGGAGGGAAGGGAAGAGGCAGTGCCAGCAGAAGGCAACGTCACATTTACTGTGAGCACATTAAATGGTCACAGCTGAAGATGACCGGTCCTGAGCAAACCCAGGCAGCTTCCAGGTGGAGCCTAGTGACTGCTCCATTCTTTTAATGCTTTTGCAAYCCTCGACTAATCCTAAACGAGTGTGTCTGCCTTGCCCAAAATGAGAGGGATAGGCTGCCAAGACGGTTGGTTTCTTCCTTGGGTACTGCTCTAGGTCTGTCTAGAGAGAGTCTTTTTTTACTTTTCAAAGTCAATACTTCTTTTGAGAGGATTAGCTTTGTTTTCCGTGATTAAGCTGTAAAAGGTATGTGTGGTTTTTCCTCCGTGTCTGCCACAGAGAGCTGCAGAAATGATGGTCTTAAGTGACAGCAAGGGGAATTTAAATTAAACTTGAGGAAGARAGCTTTGATGATAAGGGCAATTAACCACCTGAATGGGTTACCTACAGAGGTTATGCTATTACTAGAAAGAGATTAACAAACTTTAAGAAGGCACAGGAAAATGTATGAAATGAGCTGTCAAAGTAGCTTCCACCCCTGTTTTTTAATATATCCAGAAGAGAATAAAGTTAGGTCCCTTAAGACGCTCTTAACCTTAGTGGAAGCTAACCTGCATTTTCTTCCTTTCTGCATTAAGGCAGACCCTGATGTGCTTTTATTCGGTAAGTTTTTTGCTTGTCACCTAGTCAGTTTGTGTGGCTTGCAGGTGTTCTCATCATGCAGAACAAAGATCACAGTATTTTACATTTCTCTTCCACTTCTCTTCAAAGAATGACAAAGGATCTCTAAAACGTGAATGGAATCATGACTAAATGTCATTATTGGTGGAAGTGACATTTCGAGCATATAGAATACTCTAACATATGTAAGTCTGCCCRTATATGTAATGGGAACAGAGATCAGTTTTGTCTTCTCAAAATCCCGTCTCTCGTTTCTGTTTAATTGGGGGGAAAAAAAAAAGATTCTAGGAAGCTGTGCTATATTTTCCTTTGCAATATATATTTTGCAATAATACTATATTTTCCTTTGCAATATGCCATAGTAAGTTCCCAGTTTGCTGCTTAGAACTCTGGAATTCTTATCTGTGAAGTCAGGACACTTTTTCCAGGAGAAAAGATGTTTCCGTTCCCAGGGATGGGGTGGCTAAGTCCATTGACAGAGACGACGTTCTCATGTCCAACGTCCCTAGAAATAAATTCTCTGCACGTGTTTATGCATTCGGTGAAATCAAAGGTCTTTGTACTGTGTTTACTGAACAGCTTTTATGAGATATAAATACCAGCACATTCTGCTAAATTTCTAGCAAACAGAAYGGTCTGCTCAATCCCAATATGGCCCTGTGTTAGAGCAGCTTGTAAAGACACTGCAGTGATGGGAATTGTATTTAGATTTTATCCAGGCTTGTGTGTTTCATAAATTTAGATACGTTGTGGGTGTATAGAAGATGATTTTAGAGCACTATTCATTACGTGCCTTATAACAAGTTGTGGCTCTTATTCTGTTCAATGATTGCATATTAACATTCCTTCTTGATCTTCGGTGCACAAAGCTTCCTGCAAAACTGGTTTTAACTAGTCACTCCTGCTTAAAGAATATTACATTTCTTCTGTTCCTGTGCTTAGAAAAACTTGTTAACAGCTGATGATTTCCTAGGACTCTTCCCAATTCGTAAAACTACAAACCAAGTGCTCACAGACCAGCCACGTCTCTGAAGAGACTTTATAACTGATAGATTATTTATGAAAGGATCTTGATGATTATCTCGTGTGTTTGACTACAGGTAGAGGAAGGATCTTCTGGGTCCTTCTGACAGAAGGGTTATCAGATGACTTCCAATTAAAATTATAAGGCAATTATTAARTCAGCAGTTCTAGAAGTGATAGTCTAAATTGCACTGACCACAGAATTAGTATTTTGAAATCATTTGAGGAGGAGCCCAGTTGTTCTTTCTGTTCTCCATTGCTTTCTGCTAATCGCTTTCACCTGCACTGAATTTGCTAACCCAGGGGGTGTTTGTGTGAAATGCTTTATTTCTGCTTTGTGCGTTATCTTCCTCAGAGATAGGGTGGCTGGTCTGCTAGGAACTGGGAAGCTGGGGGCAGGATGGACAGATGACATCTTTTCTGATGCAGTTTAGACAGTTCTGGCTTGTTGAGGTCAGAATTGTGTCTGTAACTTCAAGAGCTGATAAAAATAGGAAGGCAAAAACGAGTGGAGCGGGGGATAGCCTGGCTGTCACACACAGACRAAGAATTTGTTTCTGAAACGTGCAACTGTGCAAGAACTGATTTTTCTATTTTCAGTTTAGAAAATTTTGCAGTATTCTTAAAATAATAAATCTTATTTTTCAGATGGTATACGTCAGCATGCAAGTCCAGTATCACTCTTGCAATGGAAACAATTCAGGTCGATGGTCTTCAACAGCCTCCCAGGTAAGGGGAGATCTCATTACTGATGATACAAAATATCTCATGTAGTCCTTGGCATTTTATAAAAGCACTTTTGTTTTTAATCCTCTTTTAATGTGGTTTAAAGCTTGTCCCTGTTTAAATCTGACTGTTCTGGCTGTCTTGTTCACTGGCCTAGCAGCAATAGAAAGCAGGGGAGTGATCATACTGACAAATATTCCAAAAAAATTTTTTTAAATCAATTCATGCAGGTTAATGCATAAATAAAAATAGTTGTAAAAGAGCAGTTATGCRTGGGCCAGAGAGCAGAAAGCAAAACAGAAGAGCTGAATAGATGAATGCAAAAAACAGAATCAGGTAATATTTAAATGCATCCCTCTGATATGGGAAAAAATGTCTAGACAGAAAGAGCATAATCTGATATAGCCATAAAAGCAGCAGCTAACATATATTTAAGTAAAGGCATGAATTTTTGGTATCGAGCAAATTGTAAATTCTCCTACCTAGATAAACCAGTAATGCCTCCGCAACAGGAACCTCTTTAGATTGTTACTTGCATAAAACAATTAATTGCCATATATGATAGGAAATTAGTAATTTGTTAAGCTTCCTTAGTTGATGAACAGAAGGGCAGTTAGTGAAAGCCAAGATTGCTTAATATCTTACTGCTCTCTGAGTTTTGCTCGTATTCTACAGCCAAATATAGAATATCTGTAATAAAAGGAATCACCTTGGAGGAAGGAAAGGAGTATAACATTATTCATGATAAARTAATCCTTTATATGTTGATGGGACGTTTCAGAACATCATTTACAACCAGATTGAATGTGGGTGTTTAGGAAAAGGTATGTGGGGGAGGTTGCACATATGGAATTAAACAAATTATTGGTTCTTCTGTATGTCATGTTTGAATCTGGCGCAGGATGAAATCTACAGACGTTGAGAAAGGAGTAATCGCATCGCGAGGCCTCAGAAATGCTTCCCAAGCCCGGGCTGGAATACTGCGGGGCGGGTAAGTCATGTGCCGTATACCTACGTGATTCCTGAAATGTTGTTGAAGCTGAAGAATTTCGACTGTTCAGTGAAACGTGTCAAATTCTGAAGCTAAATCTCACCTAAGAGGAAAAAAAATGAAAACAAGCCTGCTGGTTGGCGTCACCGTGTGACACCCCCCTGCCTTTTCTCCAGGAATGCTCTTCGCCTTGTCTGATGCATGTGTGTCATGGCCCAGTCGTTGAGCATCCCTCCTGCACCTTGCATTTTCACAGACTCATGCTGCATTTTAGGAGGCCGAGATGCTGAGGTGAAAAGCTGCAGGAGGAATGTTGGTGTTTTGCACAGCTCATTTCTGACGTGGTGAACGTTACTGGTTAAGGGCAAGGACTGGTTTTACAAGAACCATGACAGGGACACGGGGTTAGCTCTACCCTGACACCATTAGCTCTTGTATTCCACATTGGGTCAAGGGCCAAAACAGATTACCCAGTTGCTGCATTTCCAGTTGGCACAAGTAAAACAAGGCTAAGAACAGAAAGTTAATGAAATTCAGTTGAAATAAACACCTTAAAAAAAAAAAAAAAAAAAAAGGCGCTTTTATTTTTCATAATTAGAAAAGTTACATTATGAATTAAATTTAAACTGTATTTCATTGAAATGATTTGATTTTGACTCTTTTCCCTCAATTTTAAATGTAAATAGGTAGTATTTATAGAACTGAGTGTAACAGCATTCCCAGGCCTTGTCAGCAATAGAATCTCACTCTTTAAAGAGCAAGAAGTTAAAAATCTGCAGGCATCTTTTGGAGGAGAGAAAAAAAAAAAAAAAAAAAAGAAATGGGGTTCTTCAGGCACAGTACATACCACGAATCATACAACACAATCAGAAAACAAAACGACATCCCTCACTTACATAAAACCCTTTACTTTCTGAATTCTTTAACAGACGCATGCACTCTTTACTGCAAAAAGGTTTTAAAAGACACCAAAATCATATGCTTAAATAGGTAATAAAAGGCATTAATCCTTCTAGCAAATGAAAATTGTCATAAACAAAATATCGAGCCCTATGTAAAAGAACTGTTTCATGTTGTTTATGCTGCCAAGTTGCTGATGGTGCAGAAAGCAGTTCTGTTAATAAGGAGTTGGCTAGAGTAACACCCATAGTCCAAAGATGTGTTGCCATGTAGAAGATCTACATTTCAATCAGCTGATGAAACAGAATGTGGGAGGATTATCATGAGCTCTGTTGTCTCTGAAATCAGAGAGAAGAAACTGCAGATCTTTGGAAGGAAAAATGCACTCTCCACTTTGTTTCTTGCTTTTAGGCCTACACTCAAAATAAGGCACACGTGAGAAATTTGCCTCGTCTTTGGGAGTTACATAATTCTACAGTGAAGGAAGTCAGTCAAWCTGAGATTAAATTTGTTCAATGAAATTTTGCAGAATGTCTATTTTGCGTTAAAAAATCCATATTATTTGCAAGCAGAGAAGTATAACTTTGTACTCACTGAAGTAAATGAAATTTCAGGTGTAAACCACACAAATTTAGCAAAATCTAGATCATTCCAAGGAATTAATAAAAGGAAATCATGACAACATACATGCTTATAACCCGTAACATCAAACTTGTAGCTGGGAAATATATCTAGCTAAAAATAAGAGTTAAAAAGAGGTAGTTTGTAGGTAATGTAATGAAAACACAATGGAAACACAATTCCTACAATTGGTTTTTCTGGGTATTAGAAGAGCATGGCCACAGCAGTGTGAAGCAGTTAAATTGCCTTCCAGTTTCTGTGACCAGACTGCCTGAGCTGTTCAGGTGGTATGTTCTGATCTATAACCAAGCCATGCACTGACCAAAGAGCTCTCTATTAATTATACTTGTACCTGTGGTCCTTCAGATGTTATAGTAGTGGAATAAGGTGGAGGAAATAATGTATTCATAATAAGTATACCTGAAACCATTCTTTCCTCTTCATAAGTTGTTGGGGAGGGAAATTATTAATTTAAAAACACAACAGATATTAAGAAATTATTGTCTTGCTTAGTAGAGCTTCATGCAGGTTTTAGATGGTGAGGATAATTCTAAACACTTTTCTTTGATCTTTATTTGCTTAATGATTTCAGGTTCTTTTAAAGCTGTTTCTGTGACACACATTTTAAAGTCATGTAGGCACAAAAACAAAAGTAAATAACCCCCCAAATCCTTCTCCTGCACTTCCTAAACCCCAAGATAACAACATTTATCTTGAAATATGTGACATTTCTCCCTCCCTTATCTCCTGTAACAGCGAGGCTTGTTCTTTAGGCAGTCTGTCCCCGAGCAGGAAATGCAAATAATTGTTTTGGAATCTCCTACTCTTTGGTCATAATGAATGTAATATCTCTTTCTTTGGCATAAGACACCTCTTAAAAGTAACCAACTGTACAGATCAGCTGTTACCACATTATATTCTACATGGCTGCAGGCCCTTTTTCATTATCAGTTTTCTTAGAGCAACTCTGAACTACAAATTAAAACTGGTGGCTTTGTATAAATATTACTAGTGTTCAGATAACTCTTGCAATTTCCCAAGGAGAGGAAGTCTTAGCATCATCATCTCTTATTTGGCACTAAACTTGAATGATAAAGTTCTGTGTGTAGCACACAATGTTGCATTCCTAGGTTATTTTGAAGTCACATTTGGTAAATGGTGACTGATAGTATTTCATTAAATGGAGGCATTCACTTTTTGGCATGTTGAATAAGGTGTTCATCTCATAGAACCTGTTCAGCATGTTATTGGCTTCATCTCAGAACTCATGCATAGGATTATCTGAAAAAAAAAGCAGATTGACTGTTAAATAACCATAAAAATTTAAACAGGAAAATAGAACAAGAGAGCAGCTTCCGGTAAAGAGTGAGCACAGCATTGCATTTTTTCACTTCACAGAATGAAATTTTATATATATATATATGTGTGTGTGTGTGTGTGTGTGTGTATATATATTTAGTTGTTGGATATGTTAAGAGCCATTAGAAAAACAGTGCCCTTCTAAAACAAAATAACTCTTTCATTCTTGTACTGCTGTTATACTCTGATACAAAGATCACTTCTGTTGCCTGCTGGTACAAGTAAAAGGCATATATTGGAGTGTTCRTTGACCATTTTAGAGTCTAAAAAATGAACTAAGAGCCGGGCTGGCTTAAGAAGGGGCTGTTGAAGGAGTAAGATGCAAAAGGAAGTTTTTCAAGCAACAGGTTTCCCCAATCAGACCTGACTGACATTTTGCATGGTCCACTCAACTCCTAGTAGTTCTTGGCAAAATAATCCCCCCACACAACTCAGTGTGTGATGATATGTATATATCATCACATATGTACATATATATGTACAAATACAGGTATATATGTGATGTATGAGAAAATATGTATGTTTATCCCCAGGTACTTCAGGCTGGAGATTTGAGATCCTCATATTCTGCAGGCTTTTGTACGCAGAGCATCTGTAGATGTTCAGTGAAAGAAGAATTACAGGACAGAAGATACTCTAAAACAGGTAAGTGCCCTTTTATTACAGCAGGTTTGTGGTCAAAGATAGAGCTTTCTGTTCTCTAGGATGTCATGATGCCCCCTGTGCTTGGGAGAAAAGAAAGAAAGCGGCTGCACGCTTGCTGGTATTCAGAAGCATCTGTATTCTTCCTTCTCCCCTCAGCCCAGCCATTTCTCAATCCACATGTGTTCACATTACAGGCAATGAAGAATTAGGAACCAAGTGGCCACAAAGGGCTCAGGCTTTGCAGAGAGGCACCTTCCACCTTATAATGAGTGATGCTTCTTCAAGGGGAGGATGAGAAAACCAAAGCCTCTGCTGACAAGCTAGTTCTAACTTCCCCCTCAGTCTCCAAAACCTTCTCTGCAGCTGAAAGCAGATTTTTCTCTCTGCATCATCCAGTTGCTTGTGGGTTTTAGCTATGCAGGCTTCTCCTTCTCAGCCTTTTTAGACAGTTTTCCAAACCCATGTTATGGTTGGGTAGCTTTTCCCACAGTAACTTCAACTGAAGTAATTTCAACAATTTCATTGTAGATGCTGAAATACTACGTGTATTTCTGCAGTGGCTCATTCAAGGATTTCTCCTTATTTTGTATCAAAATAGTTTCACTTTTCCTACSCCCAGTATCACAGCATGAACTCTTATTTAACAAGCAGCACTCTGAGTTGCAGAATAGTGTATTATTTTGGGGATTAGATGTACATAAAACTATGGTCATGTTAAAATTAAAGTACTTTGAGGTTGTTTTCATTAGCTGGTACAGATCTCTCTACGTGTATTACTTACTGTTRTTATTTATGACTCCAACAACCCTTGCCACATGTACAAAGCTTCCTGGAAGTAATTTCATATTTCAATTACAAAAGGACAGCTTAGGGCTTCTTTTCTGCTGACCCATGTAAGAAAATTTCAAAGCGTTCTTCATTAAGCCAGGCATTATATTGCATTCTGGTAAGAGCCCTTTACTTAGCTAACACCTAATAATGTTTTCAATGTTTTACACTACAACTGTTTTGCTTTGTTTTATTTTGTTTTCCCTGGGGAGTACTGCTGTAGTTTCTGAGGTTTCCTGATGAAGCTTTTTGTATTTTTTTAATGGTTTGCATCAAATAGAGACCACAGTTTAATGCACCCCCAAATAATACACCATTCTGCAACTTAAACTTTTGCCTTATACTAGTGGCTGTAAACTGAGTTTAAGAAAATTTCATCATGGGTCAAATGCTTTTATAGTTGGATTTCATAGTGTAAGGAATGCAAATATCAAACAACTTGGCTGCAAAATGCTCCTTCACCCTTCCACGTAGTAACATACTAACATTACACATTAATTTGTACCACTTTCCAAAGTCATTTTGTGTGAATTGAAAACAATTAATCAGCATATGGGGAGAAAACAAAAACGAGGGCGATGTTTATTATACACAGTTTTCAGTTGTGCTGTTAGTGCACTAACTTTAGGAGCCAAGCTCTGGCCCGGGGCCTGGCTGCTCTTGTGGCACGGGCCGGGGGCAGCCGAGCCCGGGCTCCAAGCGGGCTCGCGGGCTGGCGCGGCGGGAAACGCGGTTCCGCGGAGCTGCGGCGCCGAGGCCAAGTCCGTCCGTGCGCGGCGGGGAGGAGGGGCCGCCACGTTGCCCCGCGCGCGGGCCGGGCCCAGCTGGGCCGGGCC